CACACCGACTTACAGCACAGCCGACATGATGACGCCATTGCAAAACAAACCACCAAGATTGTTACTGTCTGCCAAGAAGGAAAATAATGGCAGGCGGTACCTATGCGTGGTAAAAGCTGGTTTGCAGACAGAACACTTTAGCTTTTGCTTGGTGTACCTTCCACACCTGGAATCGCTACCATAAAGGTGCCATGACATCATAATCTGAAGGCGTCGAACACCAGGCTGGACAAACTTCTGTCCTATAATCACTCGGCACGGCATCGGCTGGTCAGGACTGGCTCCCTGCCACGGCCCTTCGCTACACCGCAGCGCGCCGGTACCGGGCCGGGTGGCTCTCTGCCACGGCCCTTCGCTACACCGCAGCGCGCCGGTATCGAGCCGGCTGACGCTCTTCCCACCTGGAGCTTTGACGACGTCACCGGCGACGCGGGCCGCCATGCTCAGCGAGTCTTTGCCGCCGTCCACGGCCACGCCCAGTCGAGCCATGACGTCACACATGGCCGCGCAGGCGTCGTAGATGGCGGCCGGCTCGCCTGGCAGCTTGGCCGGCCACATCCAGTTTGCGCTGCACTTAACGTCCTGCGGACGGAGGCGGACGACGTGGATGGCTTCCGCTGTCCAGCCATAGGTTGACATGCCGCCGTCGGCGGACGCTGTCGCTCATACCTTGCCTTTTGTGATATTGGGGGTGGGTGTGACTTCAGGACACACTCAGTCACTGAGGCTTTTTGGCGTCACCTGCCTCTCACTCGGGCAGGAGGGGTGGACACCGCGGGGACTCCAGTCCATTACTCTGATTCTTCAGACACTCAGTTTGATTACTACATTATCGGTGACCCTACAGTATTGTGGGCAAGGACTATCACAAACATTGCGAGCGGTATAAGAATATAAATCGCATATTCCTGAAACAACAGCCTTGCATGAAACAACCACTAGACTTCGTATCACCATTGATTTACCACTGAGCGACCGACCAGGACAAACCAGATAACCCGTCGTTAACTCTGCACGAATATGATAACTCGTCGTTAACTCTGCACGAATATGATAACCCGTCGTTAACTCTGCACGAATATGATAACCCGCCGTTAACTCTGCACGAATATGATAACCCGTCGTTAACTCTGCACGAATATGATAACCCGTCGTTAACTCTGCACGAATATGATAACCTGTCGTTAACTCTGCGCGAATATGATAACCCGTCGTAAACTCTGCACGAATATGATAACCCGTCGTAAACTGCACGAATATGATAACCCGTCGTTAACTCTGCACGAATATGATAACCCGTCGTAAACTCTGCACGAATATGATAACCCGTCGTTAACTCTGCACGAATATCACGTTACGGTGATCTTAGAACCGCCACCGAAAAGCCAGAACTGTCGACCATTTCTGACAAAGCCCGCCGTCCAAATTGGCCAGGAGGGATCTGAACCGTGCCACGCCAGGCCGAAGCCTGCAGCACGATTAGCTCAAAGCCTCTCCGGTAGTGGAATCTGACGCCATTTCGCCGAGCTCGCGTCGACGACATCCGCCCCCTCCGCCGCGGGCGGACCATTCCGCCTGGTGGCCGGCGAGCCGGAGCAGAGTGTGCGGACATGTCGGCGACGCGTCCGTACCCCGAGACTCGTAACGGGGGCGAACACCAGGTTGGTGAGAGCTTCAGCCACGCTGAGCCGGGCGCCGGCGGCCGGGTCCAGCAGACCCTTGACTGGCTGCTCACCGACCGCGGTGGCTGCGCCCACCTGCGGGCGCACGCACGCTGAGCCCGCGCCATCGCGTCTGCATAGGCAGAGAAACATCCCACACTTACGACGCCGCAATGCTAGCACATGATCTCACCCATGTCCCATCGCAACGAAAGAGAATTCAGACTGACAGCGTCGTGAAAAGACCGAGATGTATAAAAATGTTCTGGCGATGCAACATGAATCAAAGCATCATATCATATGTAAACCCCGTATCTCATGTTATTAGGTTTTGCACGGCGAGGGTCCGACCTCACACATACCGTGTCGTAATGTGAGTGCGCGACAACGGCCACGTCCGCCAGGGGTGTGTGGAACGGGCCGACACACTGCTGCTGGGCCACCAGGCCCGTCACTGAGCGGTCCACCTGCGGCGGCGGTCCCCGAACGTCAGGCCACTGTGGCGGCGGTGACCACGGGTCAAATGGGCTCACCACTGTGGCGGCGGTCACCAGGGGTCAAATGGGCTCACCACTGCGGCGGCGGTCCCCGAACGTCAGGCCACTGTGGCGGCGGTCACCAGGGGTCAAATGGGCTTACCACTGGTGCCGGGGCGCCATTGTTCCGTAAGGCGTCCAAAGACGTCACCTTCGCGTCAGCAGTAACTGACGGTCGTCGTGTCCGTAACGGTTTCCACGAGTGGGGATTACCCAATGGTAAGGGGCAATTACATCTCCAAAACACCAAAATATTCATTAGTTCGCAAATGCCTGTTTTAATATCATGTAACACGATGCGATTTATGAAGATTTAGTGTTTCAGCATTAGAACTACGCATCCCCCAACCATGGAAAACAACCGACGTAGTAATGATCGAAATTCGCTGTCTGACACTTACCCTTCGGTTCATGGCTAGTGCACCAAGCACGCGCTTTAACAACAGGTGCTAGGCCAGTACATCTTTTTACCAATGTCACCCGTGCGGCGGTTCGGAAGTTCACTTACTTTGTTGGTGAGGTACCGCTTACTGGCGACAGCCGGCAGACGCAGGACCCTGCTGAGCACCTCCTGCAGCCGCAGGCCCTCCGGCAGTTTCAGAGGGCAGGTAACGCTGGCGGGCAGCTCCGAATGGAACACCTGCAGACACGACGGCGTCTGAGCTGGACGAACGAACATGCCATCCAGCACTTCTAGTGGGAACGTCGCGCCGACAAAAGCCGGATCCATTAGCCGAGTCCATACTCACCAGAGAGAAGACACCAGCACTTGATACGGAGACCACTTCTGGGCCCAGTACTCCTACGAACACTGACGCCCGGTTCGCAGGTGCTCGTTCACGTCTTACTAGATTTATATATATTATATATATATATATATAAATTTTCAATCCAGTAAGCCGGGAACGATTGCCTGCTGCAGATTGGCAAACTAATACATGAGTGCAATTACTTGCCCAACCTTGCCGTGGGACTCAGTCGTGATGATCACGTTGCCTGACGCTGCACACTGGCTGGGCTCCCGCGTCACGTTGGTTATGCGTGCGACGCGGTGGTACGACGGAGCGTGACGCGCTGTGCCTGTGCCAGCACGGCAATGTTCCGGACGGGGTGGGGGAGGGAGGGGGGGGGGGAGGAAACGGAATCGGTGCAGTTGTACAAAATTATTATTTCGTGGGGAAACAGCGGAATTCAGACACGGGCATGGAGCTTGATTCACGATTTTTCGGATCATGACCATGCATATTTCTGTGTGCATGCGTCTGTGGGTGGGTGGCTGCGTGCGTTCGTGAGCAAGGGTGTATTTTAATCTGGTGAAGGCTAAAAGCCGAGTATGTGTTGTATCATTCGGTCACTTTAGGTTTCAACCATTCAACATAAGGTTACGGCCTAGCCAGCTTTTCATATTCTGTTCGTACGAGGTCTCCGCATCGCCCACACAAAGTCATGTCTGTTCGATAGCGTACCTTCTGCGGCATTTTCCCAAGAACGAGCTCCAATTCAAGATCCACAGGGTCGGCGGAGGTTGGAGAACAGCCAAAGGGCCCTTCCCTTAGGATCACCTGAAATAAATTCCATCTTAGGACGTCTGTGGCTCGTCGGTACAGGTCATGTTGTGACGGGGTTCAAATATTGCGCAGCTGGTGGGTGATGAGAAAGCATAGATCGGCAATCTCTTGCCACCCATCCAGCAAGCTCTGCTTATGACCGTACACCGAAAACGGATCGCAAAGTACTCGGTAAGCACGCCATTGTCGTGATTCATCCGATCCACCTCTCGTTTCCCATGACTCGCATCTCCCAAACAAGTGATGGTACCTTGCCGTCGCTCGAGACGCGCCCCACAAAGGTGACCGGACAGTTCTCGCGCCGACAAATGTCGGAGAGAAGCTGTCGGGACTGCGGCCGACACAGGACGGCGTTGCTCTCCTGGTACTCTGAGGACGGCCACGCGACACAGCTCACCTTGCACGACAGAACAAACACACCCACGGCCACCTTCACACAAGGCTCAATCAGTTCTCACATGTCAAAGCGCATATTGTCAACGCAGCATTACAGGCAACGACTTGTGCAAATTCAAATGATCACATCAAGCTAAATTGACTGATAAATATGGACCTCAGAGAATCTTTAGATGCTACACAATATTAACGTTTTTAAATAATTTTTCAAATAATTTTTTAATGTCTTTTAATAATTATTTTAGTCTTTAAATAAGCCAGATACCGCTGGATTCTGAGATGATATGTGTGGCACTGGATGCACTTAATGAGCTCGCGCCACCGACTGGGGCGGCGCGCCCGCCGCCGGCCGACCTGCGTCCCAGAATTCCGGACCTCTCGAGCTCCGAGGTCAAAATGGACCAATCGTCGAGTCGGCCCTGCCCTGCCCTGCCCTGCCCTGCCCTGCTCTGCCCTGCCCCGCATATACGCCCAGCCCACCTGCGCCCCAGAGCTCCAGAGCCGATATTGACCGGTCACCCAGCTGGAACTCGTCCGTGTAGATCACCGCCCCCGCCGGCGCCACGATCTCCTTCAGCACGTTGCCTGGGCGAAGGTGGCCGCTGACGTTACACAAGACACCCGCGCACACGAAAGTAATCTTTCGGACTAACTCCGCCACGTCATGACGTCACGTCTACGCTGTGGCGGTTCCTGCTGAACGGGGGAAGAAAAGTTTCCCAGCACGACATCACATTATCAGCTTAGCCCGGCGAAGGCCGGACAATTTTAAGGCTGATTCTTGCAATCAACATAATTCGTAACGTACGTCATCCATTCATTCTGCCATGAATGAGCAAAATCACCTCGAGTTGACTCCGCGACGCGCCACCCACAGGCACGATAATCACTGCTGGGTCGCAAAACGTTGCTTCATCATATAGCGACATCACGCTCTTATGTGCGCTTTGAGAAGTGTTTCCTTTGTGCCCTGAGACATCTAATCAGCACCAGCCACGCCGGACCTTTGCTGGGCCTGCGTCTGTAATCGGCACCAGCCACGCCGGACCACTGCTGGACCTGCGTCTGTAGTCAGCACCAGCCACGCCGGACCACTGCTTGACCTGCGTCTGCAGTCAGCACCAGCCACGCCGGACCACTGCTGGACCTGCGTCTGGAGCCAGCTCCGAGGCTGAGCGTACCGTTGCCCCCTGCGCCCTGGTCATGGATGCTGGTGATCGGGTTGTCCGGTCCGGCCTCCGCGCAGGCGCGGATCACACGGTTCAGCTTCTGCTCCATCTCGGCGTCCCCCCGCTGCACGGCGCCGAAGTCCAGCTCGTCCGCACTGTCGCCCTGAACCTGCCGCAGCGACACGTGCGACACCTGGTGTCAGCGACAGGAACGACTGACGGCGCGACGGATGGAGGCGTCGGCGCCAGCATCAGAGCATCGCATACTGCTCAGACACAGGATATGCTGCAGATGACAACGGGCGTTGGCCTCATCGCCGGATAGCGGCAGCAGAAATGCCGGCTTTTGATAGCTGGCTGTTGGTTACTTTCATCTGAAAATCGAGCAATGTGAAGCCAAATAGGCGTAAATTGCACAACTGCCAGTATTCGCCCACATAAGGAGTTTTAAAACAGAAGATGGGTTAATGGCCGTTTAAAATGCCTACCTAAGCACGAATGCGTCACACACACACACACACACACACAAGCGTCAGGTAAGCAGAGAGGAGTCCGTCACAAGCACGACTACACAATTGCAAGAGTCGCATCGCGACCACACGACGGTCGCCAGAACTGAACACAGGCAGAGGGACGCCTCCGTCGAGCGTCGTGCTTCACCTGTACGGAGCTGGCAGCGCCTCCACCAACGCCGATCCGATACACGGGGCCTCCCAACTTGACCACCAGCATGTCTGGAACGGTCACCCGGTCAGACCCATCCTCCACTGGGTCACGCTCAGGGTCAGGGCCTGTTGCCTGTGCCGGGGCCCGAGACGCCGCCGGACGTACGTCCTCCACTGGGCCCCGCTCAGAGTCAGGGTCTGTAGCCTGTGCCGGGGCCCGAGACGCCGCCAGATGTACGTCCTCCATTGGGTCCCGCTCAGGGTCAGGGTCTGTAGCCTGTGCCAGGGCCCGAGACGCCGCCAGATGTACGTCCTCCACTGGGTCCCGCTCAGGGTCAGGGTCTGTAGCCTGTGCCGGGGCCCGAGACGCCGCCAGATGTACGTCCTCCACTGGGTCCCGCTCAGGGTCAGGGTCTGTAGCCTGTGCCGGGGCCCGAGACGCCGCCAGATGTACGTCCTCCACTGGGCCCCGCTCAGGGTCAGGGCCTGTGCCGGGGCATGGCAGAGCGTCTTGATTGGCACACGCGCATCTGACAGCCGGCGACCGAGCATCCAATATGTGATGCTTCGTCTCAGAGCTCAAGCCCACCTTCGGGAGCAGAGCTCGCCCTAAGCAGAGCTGTACATGGTACGGTATTACCATGAAGTTGCAAAAGGAATACACATTTTACCTCAGACTCATAGCCAGTTGGGATGAGGCATCAGTCACGCGCCATTGCGTCACGGCACGACCATCTCGTCGTCAAGAAAATGGTGCCTCGTGTGGGCCAGACATTCATACGGTGGCCCAACGTCGACTGCGCAATGTCTGTTACGTACCGTGTATGACCTATGTCATTGCGTTTCTTCAGAACCACGCTAAAATATCGCTGCTCATTGGTGCCCAGTTTGCTACTGTTCTAAGTGTCTTATTCAGCCTGAGGCCATCTGAACATGACCTAGCCCAGCCACTTCCCGCTTCCAGACTTGCTGATAACTATCAACCCCTCCCACATTTCCACATTCTCCACCTATCGCTTGGCAGTCATTGAAGCCTCACGTGCATTCCTGTAATCTCGCCCACCCGCTCAAACACGGCTCTACAGCAACGGAATTCAGTTAGCCACCAGCCGCACCGCCCGGCCCGGCCCGGCCCAGTGTGGGCTGAGGCCACAGCGCAGTCCCCCAGGGCCGCCACTCACCCTCCTCAGGTGGCAGCTTGTCGACCATGCCGGCCTCCAGCAGGCCGATGCCTGCGCTGAACATGATGGGCTTCACCCACTCGCGGCGGCCGTCGGACGTGTTCAGGCCCAGCGAGCGCGTGAACCCGGCGATCACCGGCTCCCCGAACTTGTTGCCGTAGTCGGAGGCGCCGTCGCTCGCCTCCAGCAGCACGCGCAGCGGCGGCGCGAACTGCGCCGGGTAGACAGCATCGGCGTCCTCCCACGGCAGCGGGTACTCTGAGCGACAGACAGCACAACGCTCGCTCCGCAGTGCTCTGGGCGCTATCTTCTGTTCAGTGTGAGAAGTGTGTTAAGCCCAACAGACCGGGAGTCGTACGGACCATCAGCTGACCGCGAGGTCTGCCCCTGACGGACACGGCGAGATCCACATCAGAGCGACATTCCCCTGGACCACAGCTGACCCCGCCGGCTAACCTGGCATGAGCAACTGGCCGACGCAGTAGCCAGCTGTCGCAGCCACCACGTGACCTCCCCGTCCGACCGCCTGCACGTCTCGGATGCGGCCGCCGGTGCCGGTGGTGGCGCCACTGAGCACGGCGAAGCCTCCCGTCAGTGTGCGGTCACCGTCACTGCTCCCTGGCTGACAATTTCAGCCACGGGCGGATCATTGGTTTCCTTAGGTCACAAATCCTGACAGGAGCCGGAAGCAACGTCTTCAGTGGTGTTAATTACATATCTAGACCAGTATCTTGATCCTGTAATAATGGATGTAGATCTTGATCTGCATCCATTCGGCCTTGGCGCACATTTCCGAAGTTTTTATCGCCATCTTAACAGAAAATAATGGATCTTATCGTTGGTATCGTTCGAACATAGTTTCGCCAAGCGCCATCTGCAATCGGCAACTTATCTTATGCCATGAGGTATGCATGGTTGGCGGGGCTGCCACCAAGGCCTTCCAAAAAAAAAAAAAATGGTGATGGCAGCTGATGATTTTGTCTCAAATATCGACTTCTCAGGCGAGTCAGCCACCACACAACCCTTGCATTAACAGCACGTCAACCCCATACACTAGGTGCCCCTTTGCAAGACACGGGACTGCATCGGTTGAGGAACGCTGCCTGATCCGTACCCACTCTCACCTGAAGGGCGCCACGCCCGTGGGGAAGTTGTGCGTCTCGGCGGTGAAGACCACGTGTCGGCTGGCGGTATCGGCCACCAGGGGGCCGGCGGCGGACGGACGCAGCGCTCGCAGTGCCACCACGCGGCCGCCACGGATGGCACTGCCGGTCAACGGGCGTTGACACAGGTGCGCCGGCACGTGTCACGTAAGCCTCTTAAAGTGCACCAGTGACAACGGTTAGTCACGTTGATACCTGACAGTCATAACGTCGGCTGGAAATCGGGCCCCGGTCTACCACGTGGAATTCAGCGACCCTCCAAACCGAGCCACTGCGTCGCCTGGACGGGCGGGGCGGCGCGCCAGGTACGTGATGACTGTCCGGCAGGGGTCATCGGTCGGGGGTGTACCGTCTGGATGGGCGGGGCGGCGCGCCAGGTACGTGATGACTGTCCGGCAGGGGTCATTGGTCGGAGGTGTACCGTCTGGATGGGCGGGGCGGCGCGCCAGGTACGTGATGACTGCCCAGCAGGGGTCATCGGTCGGAGGTGTACCGTCTGGACGGGCGGGGCGGGGCGCCGGGTACGTGATGACTGTCCGGCAGGGGTCATTGGTCGGAGGTGTACCGTCTGGATGGGCGGGGCGGCGCGCCAGGTACGTGATGACTGTTCGGCAGGGGTCAGTGGCCGGAGGTGTACCGTCTGGATGGGCGGGGCGGGGCGCCGGGCACGTGATGACTGTCCGGCAGGGGTCATCGGTCGGAGGTGTACCGTCTGGACGGGCGGGGCGGGGCGCCGGGTACGTGATGACTGCCCGGCAGGGGTCGTCGGTCGGGGTGTACCGTCTGGACGGGCGGGGCGGGGCGCCGGGTACGTGACGACTGCCCGGCAGGGGTCATTGGCCGGAGGTGCAGGCAATGTGGCAGGAAAATCTCAGCCACCTTCTGATGAAAGCAAGATGTATTGAGTTTTACAAGCAACTGGCACAACCGTCGCGCTATGACAGTCGAGTTAGTTGGATGTCTGTGGGGGGATAAAGTTAAAATAAACGACAACATAGGACGACTCGTGCTGCAGAGCGAAATTATCGCAGCTTTTATGGTCGGTTAACGATGTTTGAATGCTTCCACGTAAAGGAGCGGGATGTGGTGCAGTGAGAGCCGGCATTCCTCAGCAGAACGTCTACAGTCTACAGCTGACAGTCGTCTGCAGTCGAAATAGAGGAATGCGGTGGCTCAACTATCTCACGCACTTCACGTACGTTTTTTTTCGTTGTTTTACGGCGTAAGAGAACGCTCAGTGAGAAACAGCAATCTGGCTGCATCAACACATCACTTGACCGTGAACATGCTCTGGAGACACCGGCCGCCCCGAGCCTCAACGCGATTCCACCGCTGCCGCGCCACAGAATACTGAAGCGCTTCAAGCAAAGGGTGGTTCAAGAACAGCCACCAGGGGCTCCGCACGCCAGACGAACTTCTCAAAAAATCGTTTTGGAAACAATGCATTGGTGGGTTTGTCAAGAGCTTGGCTGACTTCTCAGTGCAATACGACGTTAAATCAACGCAATGTTATCCTAATTTTGTGTTACGTGTACGCCATTGTTGAGATATTTGCCCTTGTCTTTTAGCAACTCTTGTCTTCAGTTTTATGTTGCGTCCTAATCAACCTTGGGTCGTCCACATAAAATAATGATCCCGTCGGCGTGTGTCCGTGATGCATCATGTTCAGAGGACCTTACTCAAAGATGGTTCATTCAAAAGTAAGCATTTGGTGTCATTCTAAAGCCAGCACCACGGACCACACAGGGTCAGTCCGCCTGCCAACAGACGTCGGGCCATGAGCTTAGAGCCCCGCCCGCAGCCTCTGTGGGCCGTAAGCGAGACTGGGAGTTGTCGCCGTGTCCGGCCTAAGCTGCACCCATCACCAGAACTGGTGCAGCCTCCGGCTGTGCCGCTAAGGTCGCTACGCTCCGCAGGCGCGCGGCCGGGGGAGGAAGTCGTGCTGCGACGGTAGGTAGGGGCGTGGTCACTACGGAGCCGGTCGGTCCCAAACCCCGGAAACCTTCGATAAGATCGGGCAGTTCTTGTGTTTTGACGATGGAAGATGACTCGGAGACAGGCTGGGGCCAAGTAATGGTTAAGGCGTGGCCACGTCCGTAACACCAGGCCATGCTACAGCATCACTTCCGTCCATATCAAGCCGAAATGACATAGCGGTAAATGAAGGCCGATCGCTGACCGATACGCTGTCCGACGTTGACTGGAATTATTTCAAAACTCGAAGCACTTTTTGCTATGGTTAACGCCTTTAAATCACTTCCGTCCATATCAAGCCGAAATGACATAGCGGTAAATGAAGGCCGATCGCTGACCGATACGCTGTCCGATGTTGACTGGAATTATTTCAAAACTCGAAGCACTTTTTGCTATGGTTAACGCCTTTAAATGCAGCGCAATCAGGCCACATTTTAAAACATGCACTCGGAGGGGAGTCAAATTGACCCTCGAAGCGTTTTCCAGAATTATCCCCGAAAGACGCGGCGTATCCGCACCAAATTTGTCCTAGATGTAGCGAACTGAATAGCAAATTTTTCACGTAAAAATCAGATGTACCCTGCATGGTTGCTGACCTACGGCAGGTCAAAGGCAGGCATGGTTGTCAGGGAAGGGCGTTTCTAGAGAATCGTTCAATGTGATGCAACAATGGAGTGTTAGACGAGGCCATACATATCCGAGATAGTTTTTATTCCCTAGTCCAATTGAATCTAGAATAAAAAAAAATAATTCCACTGACCTAGGGTCCGGTATGAATCCCCCACCGAGGAGATAAAAACAGGCCTGCTTTTTACTCCAAAGCTTGTCTTATGAGGTAGTTTCTGGTGCTCATTTCGAATTTATCAATGACAGGGGCCGCGACAGACATGTTCCATAGAGTTTTCTAAGGTCAGAGTAGGCCGCTGACCTAAAATGTTCCAGGCCAACATTTCGATTTCATTAACATAGGGGTAACGCCTAGCGTAACCCCTGACGCTGATCCGAGTGGCAAAATAGCAGAAATCTCAGTTAGCATTTGGTCCCCTTGACCTTCTAAAGATCGAACAAGGTCACTGCCCTCATTGACCTTTTGCTTAGAACAGTTATCTAGGTTCACGGCGGCTGCATGAGGAGGTCTGGGGCACTTCCGCCACCAGCCTGGAGTTTGACCTTGCTCGACCTATTCTGAATCCAAGGACATAGCCTAGAAGCCTCAAATCTTAACACAAGTAAATTCACGTACAGATTAGTCCACTCTGTGACTTTGACGTCTCTAGCTATCTTAGTGTTTGAGATCTCATGGGGCCTAATTGAGTCTCTGCCCGAGCGAAGGGTATTCAACCGGCCACCCGGGGTGCGTGTCGACGATAATCCCCAAATGGACTTTGCGTGTTCGGTGGCTGACGAGATGGTGCAAATTAGACACAAAGTACCCTGAGAATGGTATGCACAGCACAACCAAGACATCGAATCATGTTGTTATCTTTCTAAGTTGCATGAAGAGGTAAAAGGGTGAAAAAGAATCTAGTCGCCTTGTACATGATTTTGCATTCTCTATCATCTCGTGAAAATGGAAAACATCATCCGAAAACGCAATACCGTAAAAAAGTTTTGTAGGGCCCCGACGATCTCACGCATGGTACGACCAAATCGTTAAAATGATAATAATTTACCTGCTGTTGTCGGAAAACTTGATCACGTTGTTATTGGAGCTGTGCCTTTGCGTTTCCATAACCATCTCCAGAAGGGATTTGTCCATTTTCTTGCCATCGATGACCAATGCTCCCTGCACACAGGACATAGGTTGCCATGAGGACGTCACACCGGCTGGTGCAGAGGACCTCTACAAAAGGGGGTACATCACAGGTGTCACGTTGGAGACAACTCGGCTAGTGAAAATACATCCTGATAACCGAGTGTCATGGTGTGACATAAAGCGCGCCCGAAGTTCATTAATGGATCTAGTGTCTTGAGTGAGCAGCATCAGCAGTTGCAGCATCATACCTCCTGACGTCGCTAAGTGCCAGCGGATGTTTCAAATCATCATCAGATGGTTGAATAGCATTGAGCCGGCGCGTTAGGTTTTGCCAGTCGCCAGAGGAGGAGACGGCAGTGAAGTGCTGGCCAGTGACATGGCTGGTCAAGGTCCGACGAGCGCTGACCTTGAAGAACCAGTGGCGCGAATGTTCGCTGTTGGACTGCGCCAGATCGAAGCACTCGACCGTCGTCGGATTACGCCGCAGCTTTTCGGCGAACAGCTGACAGTAGAACTCTACGTCCCAGTCGTCGAAGGCCAGACCTGAAAAGCCACAAAGAACAGCTGACAGTAGAACTCCACGTCCCAGTCGTCCAAGGCCAGACCTGAAAAGCCACAAAGAACAGCTGACAGTAGAACTCCACGTCCCAGTCGTCCAAGGCCAGACCTGAAAAGCCACAAAGAACAGCGTACACCAAGCTGTATCGAGCATGCAGCCGTCGCCAAAATGTCACTTAAATGCTTAAAGAGAAACGAGGATCTGCCTAAAAGCTATTCTCGCGGCAAATCTACGCAAATTACACACATTTTATGTGCGCATGATTTCCAGCTCCACTGTGGCTTAATGATGCCTGCGTAAGTTTGTCCTTTGCATAAGCTTTTCGGACAAAATGCCCTCCCGGCTCCCTAAGAGCAAACCTAGTTGAGTATTGACGTCCTGTAGGGCCTGGCGGCCGCGTCCCATGACATCAGCGACCGGCCCACGGCTCGGGTGCGACGGTGGCGCCGAACGAGTGCAGCGGCTCCGGATAACAACACTCGGTCATCCGGTCATGCGTTGACGCAATTATCTGCCAGCAGAAGGGACGGTGGGTTTAATATTTTCCCACCGTGGTCAGTCACCACAGCATCCAAGGAGTTAGGTCTGATGTTCCAGAAGTGTAACTTGTCTCCCTATGCGCACAAGCCCAGTGACGTGCTAGGCTTGGCACCATATTATTGACGGTCTACGATTCATGAAATACCTTGAGCTTCAAGCAGTTTGTTTAGGGAAATATTTAAAGACTTGCGAGCACAGCTACTAGACCTGAAATAATAATGATAGAGTTCTGGGAGTTCAAAACCAATACGTACGGCAAAAAGGCCTCCCTCCGTAAGGTGAGATCGGAGAACAAGCTGTAGCTGTTTTATAAGAATATCAATGTTCATTGCGGTACCTCCTCGTCAAACTGACTATTTTACACATTGCTTGTCATAGTGGATCCAACAACAGCCAATGGGTGTCTAACAGCCTCATGTCTCGAATGTGACTGAAAGCTTCTGAGGGTGTAATTTATGTAGCAAAGCCATTAAAGATTTGAATTGGGCAATGCCGCAGTTAATGTGTTGAGTCAATATAGCTTTTAAAGGGAAAGCGGCTGCTCATTTAAAAAAAAAAACTATTTCTGCAACCAGACGACACAACAATGACATGAAGAATATCTAATACGTAAGGGCGTGGGAAATTCAAGAGTTGAACGGGTTTGAATGAACGGGTCGATATGTTATATCCTATGCTCAAGGGATGTGTTTCCTCCACCGCTGCTTTTAGGCATTGCCATCAGGACGGCAGATCGTTCCACAAACGACACGATGGCGAGCGCCACGTCGGCCACTGATCAGACAAGCCATAAGCTCACGTTACAGTCAGGAGCGTGTGGCAGACGGGTCACATGAGCCACGTGCGACCCTGCTTCGAGCCCTTTCTTACACATGGATTGCGTGTGGCTTCGAGGATATTTTACGTCTTTTCCACGTCTCGACACCAAAAACCGGAGCCGTACTCCCTTTAAGTGTTCGTGTCCAGCCCCTAATGAAATCTTGCCCACACCTCTAAACGCGGCATCGTTACCATCTGTCTGGTGACGTCATCCAGCGGAGCGTCGCTGATCAGCTGATACCTCCGAGCCACCTCCAGGCGGGTGACGTCACGGAGGCCCAGCGCCCGACATATCGCCACCGCATTGGTGGACGACGGCGTGCAGAAGCTGAGTCTGCCGGGTGCGAACAGAGGCAAGTCACGCCCGGAACGTGACGCCCCGTCACGCCGAGAAAGCTGGGACAAAAGCCGGAGTGGACACATCCAGCAGACGCTGCGGGCGGGAATGACTGCCGTGAAGATCTGGGCTCTATGATTTATGAAAGTCACAAGACTGTACTCGAGCTCTGGATGGAACTTGGTAAAATGTGTGCTAGTGAACACATACATAATCTGAACAGTAAAAGCGATGAGGGTCATAACGAAGCCTGCGTGGTATATAGCGACAGTTCTTTTCCCTTATGGTAACCTCATCGAAACTTTAACCCTGAAATGCACGACAGGTGGTCGTTGAAATGTTTCGCGCTTCACATATTTTAATGTGACAACCTAAGCCCTCAATTAACCTTCAGTTAATTACACAAACGGAGCTACTTTGCCTGGGTCATTCAAAATAGTTGTGATGTGGCGTCCATTCGAAGACTCCACAGAATCAAACTACTTACCTTTAGACCGATTTGGGCTGGATGTGTTTGCAACGAGCCACAGGTCGTGAGCTTAACTGAAGCAAGGAATAGAATCTATGCTACTACACAAATACAAGTCCGGTCCGGACTGACCAGTGTATTTTGAATTTTTAGAAAAGTTAGACGATAAGGTGTAAACATTCAGCCCTAAATAGATCTTATTCTGAAAGCGTAAAAACTTTGAGTAAAATGTATCTCTCTCTCTCTCTCTCTCTCTCTCTCTCTCTCTCTCTCTCTCTCTCACTCTCTCTCTCTCTCTCTCTCTCTCTCTCTCTCTCTCTCCTCTCTCTCTCTCTCTCGTCTCGCTCTCTCTTCCAACATTGATGGGTAAAGTCGATTGAAAGGGTGTGGCACTCAGCAGGCAAGTCAATTTTTTATTATTGGGGGGCCGAGCCGAAGACCCGACAACACATCCTCTCCCCGCTCGTTTTTCTCACCGGATTTAGCTCACTTCGCTTCGTGGAAGGCAACCTATGTTTTAAATTTCATTTATCGGAAGATTTTTGAATAGTTTATAAAAAGTATTTAATTGAAGCAGCATAATGGTCCCGCAGGGGTAGATCCACGTAGCAGGCACTGGACACACGCGCCTCTTCTGATCGGCAAATGAAGGCGCCGCTTTAGAGGCCATCTTTGGGCTTCGGAGGCGCTCTTCTACGGCGGTTATGGTAGGTGGCACGTATTTTAGCTGTGGGGGACGGGGGTATTGTCAGCCTTGAAAGACTTACGTCATCCTCCCCGTATTCCAGGGCTATTCACTATCACTCACAGACCATGGCCTGCGTATGGCCCTAGGTGTGAAGATTATTGCATCCTTTATCCGTTCAGCTGTTACAATTTGTATTTGGTGCTGAGAGCAACCACGGCTTTTTGTGACCAGGGGAGCGAGGCTTCTAGTGTTAGTAGGTGCCTCGCTTTATACGAGAAGCAAGCGTCTCTATGGGGTGGGGGGAAAGGGGGGGGAAACATCCGGCTGCATTAACGGATCTAGCTACCGGGTTTGGGGGCCAAACCATCGGACCAAATCACACACCCTACTCCATTTTCCTTCCTCGTCCTTGAACAAGGTCAAAGAACCAATCCCATTCCCTGCAAAGTTGTGCTGCTTTATTGAAGTTTAAGTGCTCGGTGACTTGCGAACGGTGTGCGACAAATTTTTGGCCTCAATTTGGCGCCGCACCACGTTTGTTAACTCAACTTTTTACCAGTGCATAAAGAGTGACAGCTACCAATACTCGTATGGAATGAAGTCTAGAGGCAAATCGCCTTCACAAGATGCCTAAAAATGCACTGTAAAAACGATGAGAATGAGCTTGACTGTTACTGTTGTGCACAAAACGCGTGTACGCTTAATATGACTTCTGCATGCCTAGTTATTAACACGCGTTCGCGTCGGCGATCAGTTTAGCCCCCCCCCCCCCTCCCTCCCCTTGCAGAGGTTTTCCACACAAATGATGAACGGTGCGACGTAGCCGTTCTAGCGTTGGTAGGTGGACATCTACACTGATACGTTTCTATGAGTTGGTAAACATCCGGTTACATTAACGCCGAAGTTTTGATGCCGCTACGTTACGCCGAACTTTGCATAGCTACGGGCAGTTGAATAACGGGTCTTAAGGATTAAATTAGTAAAATTAAATTAGTAAAACGGATTTCAAGCAAAACACAATGCTAGGCTCGCAGCCGTCCATGGGCACCAAACATTATGACGCTTGGCGTAAAAGTCTTTATGAGATCAATGAATCAGTGGCGTCAGTATCATGTTCAGTTTGCGGGAACAAGCGCCTGGGGTTATGTTTGACAGGCAAAAAAAAGCACGCAAGCTAAACGGTTTAACCCCACTTTGTAAAGTTACCCATCATTTGATGAAATAATTTGAGGTTGCGGCCATCAAGCTGCCACGCTGCATCCTCTATGCCGACGCCACTGCGCAGTAAGACCGAAGAAGATAGAGTTTGGGGGACCAAGCCAGTGTCAGGGAGCGGGGGGGGGACAACTCAGCATTGGCGGAGGGGGGGGGGGGGTGCAGGGGACTCCCAATAAAATGCAAATCGAAACCTGGGCGCGAGTCTGCTTGGTTACTCGTTTTTTTCTTACACTTTTTTTTTCTTACACTTTTCCATGGTGCAAATGAAGAACTTCCAAACACAAAGCAGCAGAGGGTGCACTGTATGGCAAAGGGTAGGACAGGAGTGAGGTAGATAAGACATTACAGAGCAGCCAGTACGGACCACACGGCAGTACACAGCGCGGAACAGGACTTAAGACAAGGTCAGGACAGGACGGGACAGGACAGGACAGGACAGGACAGGACAGGACAGGACAGAGCCGAGCAGAGCAGAGCGGGACATTGTAGACATGGCAGGACAGGGCAGGACAGGACAGGGCAAAGCAGGGCGGAGCAGTGCAGGGCAGGGCAGGGGTAAGCACGACGGACCCGCCTTTCGCTTTTTTTTATCTCCTTTTGGTTCGAGCAACGTCCGCCGAAGGCAGTTTTTTGCGCTAATTTTAAAAACAAATATCCCGATGAACTCGAAGCTTTTCGTCATATCGACCCTCTAGAGGTCATGAAATGTCATCGGTTTAATATGATCGTGACCATGTGCATAAACCATACACCTAGATTAAAGCTGGTTGCGTGAGGAGGCCTGATAGTACTTAGGACACTATCTCATTTCCCACCTTTTTTTTACCTTATTTGGCCCGAACGGCACGACCTAGAGACCTCAAACTTAACTTGACGCAAAGAATTCGCATAGAGCCCTGCTTGCCCTGTGAATGTCATATCCAGCTCTCTTAGCCTTTGATATATCGGGGAAGGATTAAATTGACTCCTCCCGGCCCTACCTCCCCTCCCCCTCCGCCCTGCAATACCACTCAAACCCATCCGGACTCGTCGCATTCGTCTGGTTACACGGACACATGCTATACTGCGTGACCATATGGCCTCTACGCGCACAATCTGATGCACACAGCAGCAGTATCCTTGACGACGAACGCCGGCCCCGGCGGCTTGCGTAATCACATCCATCAGCCTGCATAACTACCACAGCCGCGTCTGCTGCTGTCGCAATGCCACGCTGGGTGGACTGTCCAGAGACCCGTCCCGACGCGCCGCCGCCTTTTGCGCTGTGATCGGTGAACGGAGACACCCTCGGTGGCTCGGAGACCAAAAGACCAGCTCGGAGACCGCGCTGAGGCCGGCGAGCCGGAGCCCTGCTGACCTGGGGCCGATCTCGAAGACGAAGCTGTGCTGGCCGGGCAGCTGGCGCAGCTGGGTGACCTCAGAGGGCGGCGCGCCGCCAGCAGTAGTCTGCGCCAGCAGCCAGTTGAGCCGCTCGCGCTCGGCCGCGGCCAAAGGTCGGTCGGTCTCCACGTAAACACAGCGTTCTGTGCGCAGACGGGCGGCGCCGGCCGCCGGCGGTCTTCTCCAGCGCGCTGCCGTCGGGGAGTAGAGGCGCAGCAGCGCCATGGCGTGCCCTGCTGCCGGGCTCTCTGCTGCCGCTGTCAGACAGAGCGGACCGGGCTCTAGCGCCCGACCTCGGCGCAGCTCGCCGGCAGGGTGACGTCCGACCGGGGACAGCAACGGCATGTCGTGACAACGGGCAGCAAGCCACCACATGCACACTGGTAAATCTACAGGCGGTAAAACGGAGTTTCCATATATCAAAAATAAACATTCTCCGAACAGAATAATTTTCGAGCAGCCAAGAGATATTTTCGAGCTGTCCTGGGAGTGGCATTTAATTTGCCCGCCAAACCGACATAAATTTGGTCAATCGTCTACCATATTCCAGTTTAATATGGTTCCATATCGAGGGAAATGGTTACGCCAGAAGCACATCTTACTGAAAGATGCATGACCGAGGCATGCTGGGGCACGTCGTACATCGATTGAGGGCCAAATCATTCACTGTGCGCAAATGACTCTCAGTTCGCTCACCTCTCGTTGCCTGGTGACGGTGTCTCGCACTGAAAACCGGACAGTGCGCTCCTGCCGTGCGCGTGCCTGCGTCCCGCGCACCGCTGCTCCCCTGGCGGTGGCCACTGGCGCTGACTGGACCACCCGAGCTCCCGACAGCCGAGCCCGCAACACGTGCAAGACAGCCCACCGGCCAAAGGGGTCATTTGTCGGTGTTTTATTACCGGAAGACGCTTCACGGAGGGAATGTGAAACAGAGGTTTCAGCCTTCGCTACTAGATGGCCTTAAGTTTTCCAGCAGCATCATGTACAACTAGGCAGCACAAAAATGCATTAAACCATCGCCATGCGGGAGAATTTCAGTTTCACTTCCCGGAGGGGGAGGGATAAGGGGTGACCTCACATGATCTCGACATTCGTAATCTCGACCTCCATAATCTCGAACATCAAGCAAGCTAGAGCCACCGCAAAAGCGGCGGCGGAAGGCCTATCAAACTGGATTAGATAAGTGTGGCTAGATAATGGTCGTTGTGGCCTTCTTCAGGTCAAACCAGGTCGAAGTGTTTAAATTAACACTTGATAAACGCACCTGAGCGGCAGCGGGCCGTCGACGACTGTGATGCCGCGCCGACTCACTGCGCGAGGCTGCCCGTGCCCGATATGATCAAGAATCAAAGCCGCCACCCCGCCCGTTTGTTGGGGTTAGTGTGTTCCTTTAACATCCGTCGATTAGGATCAGGGGCAGATGAGGCACGATCATATGTGTGGGTCACTCACGTGGCTATCTTGCGAAACCCCCGAATAGCCGCACCTACGGGCGCAACAGTCGCTTCCTGCGCCCGTTCCGTCCGCCAGTGTCCGCGTGCACCACGCCGGCTGCCCACCCGCCGCGCCCTCAGACCCCATCCCCTCGCCGCCGCCGCGTCCCACGGCCGTCAGCCGCAGCAGGAGACGCTCGTACCGCCACTCTCGTCTCCAGCTCGACCCCAGTCTCCCGTGCTACGCCTGCCTCAACGCTGGCCAGCCTCATGTGTGTGTCCGCATTGTTTGACGCTTCCGCCTTCTCGCGCGACGACCGTGATGTCAGTACGAGCGACCGCCAGCGAGAGCCGTTTCTTGTCCTCGGCTTGGGAGCGGTCGGACCAACATCCAGCGAGTTTGTGAATGGCGAGTGCGATGCAGCCGTCAACGGGAAGGAGTTCGTTTGGTTAAATTTGAAAGGGAGGCGGAACATGACGCTCTTACGCCAGGAGCACGTCGGCAAAGGGTCACCCCTTAATGGACACGCCGGTGCCAATAGCTGGCTCCTTTCGGTACAGCCAAACGGCGTCCACATGCGACTGGTCAACCGCTAGCGGTATGTGGGCGGTCGGGAAATAAAGAGCTACTATTACTTATGCATCCGTGTCTGTGGTGTGGTTTCCGAACTAGCAGTGATACTGCAGTAACTTGCATTAATGGTCTCCGTCTGTTAATGTGCACACCACTCTTCAGCTCCCAGCCCACCAACCATCTATAATTGGTTATGTTTGTGTATTTTTGCACCACACACGGCTACCTCCCTTCCCATCTCTTACTTTTTCACGTACCATCTAACGTGGTATGAACCTTTGACATTACATAAATTGACACTAAAGTTTGCAACATTCGGTCGTAAAATACTGGAAAAGCAAAACCTTCAAAACAAAGATCACCGATTTTAAGAGCGACTTGGATAATTTCAACAACAAATCACATGTCAAGGCCGCTGAAATCATGGCATTGTTGTTATTCATTTCATGATGATTATCCGCCCGCAGAGCCACTGTCTGCTGGATGTGATGACACGATTACCACATTGCTGCCAGTTAATGGTGGGACGGGCATCCATTACATAAAACTCTAAAACCCCGGGCCGAGAGAGGAGCACGTGCAGGCCCCATTATCTATTCGAGGCACATGGTTCTGCTATTGTTCAGTTATTAGAGCCTCTGTTCAGTATCTGGGTCCTCATGTTCAGTAGCAGATCCACGGGCCGACAGCGGGACGCGTTCGATTGCTCACGGACCTGCGGGTGGGGTGCGATTGAGAAGGTCATCTGGCTGATATCATGGGACCCTGCTCTGTCCCTGCTCCAAAGGCGGGGCCCTCACTGGTAAGGGATGCTATCCGGTGCAGAGGCCTCTGACAAGAGAGGGTTTTCATCCCCTCATCCTCTCTCACCGTCTCTCGAGGACTTCTAGTGGCTCAAGAGGAGTCGCTGTGACTGAAATCCGAGGGCCGTAGCTCTGCCCCTGCTCAACTATGGAAGTCCTTGTCGGCACGGAGGCCTTATTCAATGTCGTGGATCCACGAAACGACTTGTTCAATGCTCTGTATCCCCTGCTCAGTATCAGAGATCTACCGCAACTGAACAAAGCCCCGCTTAGTTTCCAGCTCAGGACCGGCTCAGTGCCGACTCAGCTCAATTTCCTGCTGTGATGCTGTTGCTGACCGGTGGGGATCCTCTGACATCCTCGGGTATTGCTACTGATCCTGTTCGGCATATGGATAACTGGCCACCATCGGCCCCTGTTACGCATCGGCGTCACCTTATCAGGTCTGGGATCTCTGACCGATAGAACGGCTTGATAATGCTCTTCGAGATCCCACTAACCTGGTCGGTCATTCTGCTTTTCGGGGCTAAAGGGTCAACTGAGGCAACCCTTCGTTGATCCCAGATCCACGAAGGAAGCTATAGCCCCCACCCCGTCGGAGCCCCTTTGTATCTGCCCCTGGCTGGGATTATGCCCCCCGACTCACCAGCTCACGTGGTGCTGTCATACACCACCTTCGCCATATGACTGAGCATGTGCCAACATGTAAAGCTATGCGTTCTAAACTGCGCACAATAATTTCAGCAGCAGTTAACAGTTCAGAATTGAAATCATTTGCGGAAGTTAATTGCACGTACCTGCTGCATGCGCACGTATGCTGCATGTTGGGACATACGCAGGCATGCATGACTTAGAGGTACGATTATATCCACAGGTACAGAGCAACGTTAGGTTTTTGTCCAACACAGTGTCTTCTCCCGCAGTGTCGGAGGCGTCAACAGGCAGAGATTGCCATTCCTTGCGGGAAACAGTGTCACGTAGGATCGCCTGCGTTAGAATACTGCCGCGCAAAAGCTTTGTATCGGAAGTCTGCAGCGCAAAAGTTGATGTGTTGGAAGTCTGCAGCGCGGAAGTTTATGCGGTACAAACTTTTGAATCAGAAGTAGGACTTTTGCCTAAAAAGTAATCCTGTGTAGTAAGTTTGCATTCAAAGATTCACCGCATATATATGTATGCGCTTGATGTTCTTGCGTTGGAAGTAATGTCACGGAGAACTTTTGCGTTATTTTTTACCTAATTTGCCCCGTACAGGTGTCGTCGAACAGAAGTCCTCGCGTTGACAGACTTGTTGCGCAAAAGTTTACGCGTAATATTTGTTTGCACTAGAGATACTGTATTGTATATTTTTACATTCGACGATTTGTCGCACGGAAGAAATGTCCCATAAAAGTCTATGCATTTGAAGTTCTCGCATTACAGGTAATGTCGTGTATAAGTTGTGTCGTGAAAGCCTTGTCGTTGGCCACATTTGTGCAAGAAGCATTGTCGGCACAGCCTTCGCGCGGTACGTCTACCAAAACTACGTCTTCTGACAGTCATCCGTAGGGGGTGATATAACTTATAACAGGCTGAAAAATTATCGTCTATCGCAAAACAAGCAAGAACGTGCAAAATCACCAGTGTGTATATTCCTTGCGTGCCTAGCAGCACCCGAACCATCGTCAAGCGAACATTGTCAACAAAGAAAGCTTATATCTTCGCAGAAATGCCACCAGTGGCGTGAATTATACACCATCGTCGCGGAGCTGAACCCAGGCGGCCGAAGCCGATGCACAAATTGATTGTGCTCTGAGGACTAAAGCAGGCCCAATGACAAATCAACGTGTTAGTGACGCGTAGGGGATCATCATTCCTCCAGGTGCTTGCACTAGCATGCGAGAATGAGCTGGGAGCATACCACAACTTAATCACGTTTAGACCGCTTTGCTTTCGTCTGAGCCGGACCTGTGTTCCGTCTGCAAAGGCAGCGGCAGCAACACTTGACCAGAGCCACCAGCAGCTTCAGCACCAGCACCAGTACCGCCAGCAGGAAGGCGACCACGTCGAGCGAGTAGTACTGGAAGAAGTTGAGGTCGGCGCCCACCGACCTGAGGTGCGGCGCGCCGCCGTGCCGGATCACGTGCTCCACCCAGTGCACGGCCAGGTCACGGGGCGGCACCGGCTGAGAGGCCAGCAGCTGCTGGCGGTAGCGGGACGCCGCCCGGTGCCCGGGAGACATGGCGGAGCGGATGGCCGCCTGCAGCGTCTCGGACGTCAGGCTCTCCCAAGTCAGGACCTCGGCCACGCCAAGATCGGCGGCGTGAGCTGCGTTCGATTGCTGGTCTCCTGTCACGGGCATGGCCAACAAGGGAACACCGTGACAGAGGGCTTCCAGAACGCTGGCGAAGCCGCCGTGTGAGATGAACAGCCTGCACTTGCTGTCGCCCAGGATGTCCTGCTGTGGCAGCCACTTGGACGGCAGGATGTTGGCCGGTATGTTGGTGCGGTCTGTGGTGTCCCACTTGAGCAGGACCTTGAACGGCATCGAACCGAGGGCGTTGAGCACCGCCGAACGCTGGTCCGCAGACATGTCCTGGGGACGTACCACGGAACCCAGACTGAAGAATATGTACTGTGAGTCGCCGAGGAAGCTGGTCACCTCCTTGGGCAGCGGTTTGGCCTTTTCGCAATGCAGTCCTCCCACCTCGATGACGTTGGGCAGCAACGGCTTGTGGTAGTCGATCATCGGGTTGCTGCTGAGCAGGACAAGGCTGGCATTGCGTTCAATCTCACTTGCTGGAGGAATCACGCCCGCACCGAACTTCTCCGCGACCATTCGGTCTGCGTACCTTGGGTACACAACGTGGAGTACAGTGAACATCATGATATGTCCCACTACATTTTGGACACGTTGCATAAAGCTCATGTGGTCATTTGACGCAATAAATGGAATGGGATGAAGAGCGGGAAGGGTTGGTGTCCCTAACGGACTGGTGACAACTGGAAAGTAAGAGACCGGGGTCAACAAAATAAAAGGTGCTTTGAGCAGATGCGCCAGGAAGTAAAACGGATAGCCAAAGGCGCCGAAAATGACCAGATCAAATTTTTGCTTTAAAAGGTCGTCGACTTCTTTACTCTCTAATGTGGTCCTCGGGCCCTCGGAGAAAAACGTTGCGAACTGTTTAAATCCAGCTTGCATGCCTTCTTCGTTCATTTTAAACATGTTCGGAAGCATGTCGTCTGCAAACATCTTCGCCAGTTTGTCCGGTACGACTTCCCTGATGCCTTTGACGGGAGATGAGGGTTTGAACCCGTTGAAGAACACCACCTCATGGCCTCGGGAGCTGAGAGCATTGCCCACTCCGTAGAAAATGTTCTTCTGCGATTTTCCGCCGATGGGTACGAACATCAGAATGCGGGCGCTCTCGACACCCATGACACCACAGAAGAGCAGCAGCAGAACTCTCACAGGAGACGCCTGAAAAGATCCAATTCGCAGCAGGTGAAGGTAGTCCAGTCAGCGGTACAACTTCGGATGTCGAACGCAGGCATGCGACAGTCCTGTCACATGATTCCTTCCTCGACATCACCAGTGCCACCGTTCACACAACAGCGATGAAGATCAGACGTTTAAGGTTTACGAAATGAGCGAAGGTTGGCACGGTTGCCGCCACGCTTGGGCAAAAACTGACGTGGTTACCGTGGTACAAAGCTGTATGCATGGCCTCTCAGAATCTTATCACGCGTCGCCTGATATCCTGGGTCCCATTCACGTGCTATCGTTATCAATTGCAATTGAAACCAGACGAATCACACATAAGGTCTTAGACAATATCACACGGGCTGGTAAACACGCAGTGCACAGCATGAGCGGTCCCGACAAACCGGCGTCACATACATGATCTCCGTGAGTCAGTATTCAATGGTCTGCCCATATAGAATTAAACATGTGCTGCAAACAACTACTCGTGTATGAAAAGTAACACAACGGGGACCAGTGTTGAATCAATTTCACTGAGCTGGTACAAGCGCGGGCACGAGACGAATGGACGAGGCGCTCTTTTTCCTGCTAGTTGGGGGGACGGTGCCTCCATTAGGCGATGTATGTTCCGCCCTCGCCCACTCCGTGACTAGCCTCGTCAGCATCTTATGATGTGAAGCCTCCAGTACGACATAATATGGAGTAGACTAAATCCACAGAGTAGTTAAGACAAAGTAAGTCTATGAGCCAGCTTTGACTGCATCTGCAATACTTCATCCCTCCCCGAATCGATTTATGTAACCAGGGGAGCTTACTTAGTAGAGATTGGGTGCATGCCACCTCCCCTGCACCATTTTGACTTCGATATGCATCAAGATGCACATGATAAAATGCAGACAATTCAAACTCGATGAAGACAGGAAAACTTAAGTACATTAAAAACACGCGGCGTTGTTGAACATCATGCAACAGATTTCGCGCAACCACACCACCCGACAATGAAGTGTTAATAGTTGAGATATGCCGCCCCATTGCAAGAGTCCGCAGTCTGCTGGAGCCGATCACCGACGGCTGGGAGTTAACGCTGGCAGCGTGTGCTGCCATCTACCTTGTGCGGACGGAATGACTGACGGCGACTGGCGATGTCCGCGTGCTTAGTTTTGAGACCTTAAGCACGACGGCTCGTTGACCTAACCGCCTCCACCGGACGCGTGTCACCTAATTAGCCAGTCAAACGACGTGAGGTTTGTACAAATTGCACATATATGTTTCAAGATGACGCCAGCGACTCTGCATGGTGCTTAGCCGTCAGGGTTCAAATGCCGGCTACGTTTCCCGCTCTTACATAGGCATGTCCGGAACTGACGCGTGGAATGGGCATGGAAACATCAAAGGGACTTTAATAAATGTGCCAACAATACACCACATGTCGAAAGAACATCACGAAAAAGCACGTACCATGGCTGGAGACGGTGCCCCACCTATCCCCGTCGTCAGGCGTGCCCAAACCGCTTCTGGCGTACGACAGCGGGAACGCCTGCGACCGACGGCGCATGCGCGGTGAGTGAGCACAATCAGGACGATGCCGCGGTGAGTCGGCAGATTGTGGTCTGTTGGCGGGGCGGCTGGGCTGGGGGGGAGAGGGGGGGGTATAGTAAGCACTCGACAATCGAGATACTTGACACACACCCAGCCACACGGACCACGGTTGTGGTGTTCTTCGATAGATATATGTTTAGCATATTCAGGAGATATATCGTTTCAGCGTTGTATATGTTTAAGCATGCGTTAGTCTCAACCGCACGCCAGCCACGGGCATGGCCACCATGGAACACTGTGACAGGGCTTCCATAACGCTGGCGAATCCGCCGTGCGAGATGAACAGTGTGCACTTGCTGTCTTGATGTTCTACCGCGGAACTGGTTCAAACACCACCTGCGTGACGTTAGAATCATAACAGGAAGCTAGGAATCGCGCGAGCCACGCAAATCTCCGCACGAAGCGAAGTGCCTGTGAATCGCTCGGTGCTGTGCATTTATCTCAGTGCACTGGCATGCTGTCACTAAGCCCGCCAGCAGTAAACAAAATTGCTTAAATCTGAACCACGCCTGGTGGGAAGTTATGTGGTCTCTGATGTACCCCTCGTGCAGACCCAGCAGGCACCCCTCGCAGCGCCATAAAGCGGCAGAATAACTGAAACATTTTATAAAATAAGATCATGAAAGCTTATTTCATTGGAGGAGGAATCGGTCTAGGATCGAAACACCACTTCCTTTCCGTTTCAAAATTGTTGCCAACCGTCTGTAGTTGTGAGCTCTTGTCGAAAAGATGCTGTGAAGCGTGCTATTGAAAACATTTGATTGTGTGGAAAAGCAACTTGGCAAGGACGCGGGAAGCGGGGGGGGGGGGGAGGCAGTGAAGGCAACTCCCTGAACTTGGAGGACCTGTGGAGTGCCACGCTGGTATGTTAAGGACCGATTCTGAGCCGTCAAGGTATTATATAAACCTGGAAAAGGGTATTCTGACCCAAAGAGGGACATTATTGGTTGCGAAGGGCTCATTCGGGCTCGGAGGGGGCTACTGTATAATTGTAGGTGGTGTGTGTGTAGGTGACCCACTTTAGTGTCTTGGAATTTACAACACCCCACTCCCCAACTTGGCCAAGGTTCTCGCCCCCCCCCCCCCTTGCCTGCAAATTGGTAATGTAAAGATGCGAGAAAGGTAATGAAGTGGCGTAGGATGTTGGCACTGAGTGACATTGTTTTTTGAAAGCAGCGCTTAAGCATGCGCTGATTGTCTGAATCCTCCGCATGTTTGCGTGAGGTTTCAATTCCCCATCAAGAATGCAGTCGTGATTGGTTACGTCTGTGTGCTGGATGCAAAGAACAAACACTTCCTGGTGTTGTATGCGTGGGCAGGGTCAAATATCCCAATAACAGGTGTCTTTTTATTCCGATTGGTAGCACGCGCTCTGGAGTTTAGATTATGTATCCCAAATTCGTTTGGCATTAAAGCAAGTCACTGCACCATGCCTGGCACCATGACGCTACTTAGCACGCAGCAAAAGACAACAGCTGTGAATTTCTATTGATGAAGGAGATTCACCGCTGCGACAAAAAGAAGTTCAGACTCCACTTCAACATCCAGTACGCTCCGTCTTCAATTTGTTTTCCAGCTGTAGGAAGCGTTTTTGACAGACGGGTGTGTGCTGAACTCAGATGCAGTATGAAGTGGGAGGGTTACGATAAAGAGAATACCGATCAGAATCCCAATATTCAGGCAGGCCATAAACGAGTTCTTCCGGGAAATGACCACAGACTGACTGAAAAACTGAGGGCGCCTGAAAATCTTTTACCTCATCGACTTTTGATACGTGACGTAGACTATCCTTAGCTGTGTGGCTAGAGGGTTGCAAGGTGTATTACCCTGATAACAATTGTGGTATGCTAAGACCCTGTGAAATCGTAAGAATCGCAACGATGCGATTTTTGTTCGCCTTGAGCTCGTATTTTGTAGCCACCTTTCCTTTTCGTTTTCTTCTATTCAGAAGCGGTCTGCTTTGGGTGAGAGTTTTACCAACTCCAAAGCATGTTTACTTCATCAGACATGGGAATGGCTGATATGCAGATAATCCAGTATTTTGTGTGTCTGTAGTAAGTATGCTCAACTAAACTTCTATTAAAATATTGGCAGCATACCATGCCGGCATATTAATGACATCATCAGCTCTCAAAACCAAGGCCGCCAAAAGCTGTTAGATGTAACAATGAGTTGCATGATATATACCTGAAATGACATCGGCTAGAGCTTAATATAGGACAAGAATATAACGAATCTAGGGACGTTAGATTTAAATTTACGATAATGTTTAACATACAACCAGCAAAACCAACGAATATTGCATGGGTTTTGGCCGAGACCAACAACGGGTTTTGAGTGCTCATTTACGGTACATTTGTGATCAATGCAACAAACACCCTTGGTGCGCAAGGCTAGCGGGCTTGGGGTCAGGTATTAACGGGGCGATCAAGTGCATACTAGAAAGGGAAATTAACTGCTAGAAAGGGAAATTATCTTTATGCATTTGCTCGGACCTGAGAGCGTATATCATCACGAATGACACATATTAATGGGCCCGGGGTGGCAACGTGAGCTACAGCTGAGGGTCTAATAGTGCAAAGATCGGTCTGATCTAGCGGCCATGATCCAGATGGGGATTGCTCAAAATGCTACGTTTGTGAAATAAACACAATTTACTAACCGCGACTGGGCAGCCAACCTGGCTGTCCGGCTGCCGCGCTGACTGCGGCTCTCGGTGCACCAGCTCGTGTGCTGCTTTGAGCACAACTCGCACCCGGACGTTCGGAGCGTCCTCCCGCCATGACGGCCGACGCTTGGCGTGTTGCCGCGACCTTGAACCGAATTGGGGGCCCGGCGCGGGCGCGGGGCCCACGCATTCGTGAGCGCATATGCGTACCTAGGCGTAGGAACACGGGGGTGCCGGTGCTCGCATCACACCAATTTGTGTGTACATATGACCTTTATCCTCCGATCATGCATGGAAATGCGATCTATGAGCGCTTTGGTCCTCCAGCCACTTCATACTTGTCTGCGCCCCTGGCGCAAACAACTTGGTACAGCGTGGACCAGCGGCGGGCCGGGCGTAGATGAGACGGCGCCGGTGGCCGCGGGGAGCGCCGCACGCGGGGGATCAGTGGCGAGCCAGTCCACGCTGCGCGGGGGGCGCCGCACGCGGGGGATCAGTGGCGAGCCAGTCCACGCTGTTCCCCCGGCCGATCTTCATCAAGACGCCAGCGGGCGGAAGCGGGAGAGTCAATGTGTATTTAACGAAGTGGTGTTGATCATTGAACACGAGCGGGCGCACCAGCGGTACATCATGGTAAGTCTTGATGGCGCCTTCTAATCGCTAAGGCTGTGGGAACCGTTGTGAAGAGGTAGGGGAATGTGTTGTGGCTTCATTCTGTCCCCACATCTGGTCGCATGTTGCGGTTCTCAGGAGCCGTTCATAGAGCGCATGACACATTTGACATTATTTGACACATTTTCGCCATTTTGCAACCACCTCCCTCTGGTAACAGCCTGGTTACGCTGAGCGGAAACCCCTGTAGTAATTACGTGATGTACAGGAAGTATGCCACCTGATTTGTACTTTTCACTTGATAGATTAGGCACATCCAGTTAGATCGAAAATACCAGTTTCCTCGGAATCCTTCTGAAAAGCTCAGAATTCCAGTCTGAAGTAGCCGCTCCTGCGAGAGAAATGTTATCCCCGTGAGAAAAGGTGCCTCTTTTAAGTCCGCGGGCCAGCAAAGTATGGCTTAAAACAGCACAGAAGTGGTGTCTTTAACCTGTGACAGCTGGCAAAACCCCCATCAGTTTTTGCCGTCTTCAGGAGGATGGCGGCCGCGACAAGTGCAGCTGTCGTTGACTCGGGATACATCCAGGGTCTACCCAAGGTTCTAGAGTGCAAGGCCTCACACATGTGACGTCACCATGGGACTCAAATTTGGCCACAGCAGATCACGTGATAACCCCAGATGAACCTGTAGTACAACTTATAATCCAGTGATTGGTGGTTCAAGCTTCAATGACCTCTTATCAGGAACATTGTGAAATCTCAGTCGGTTTGTGGTGTCATGGTTTGTCCTGTTTCAGGCGTTCTCTGTTCGCACCCTGCTGTTCCTGTTCGCCCTCATCTGGGGGGTGAACAGCGCTCGGGTACTGATGTTTCTGCCGTGCAGTGGAAAGTCCATGAAGAACATTTTCTATGGAGTCGGCAGCGCTCTCAGTGCTCGAGGACACGAAGTGGTTTTCTTCAACGCGTTCAAACCGTCATCTCCGGTGAAAGGTGTCCGAGAAATTGTCCCCATTGGATTGGCTGCAGCGTTTTCCGAGGAAAACTTCCCAAACGCGTTCAAGATCCGAGAGGAGGGAGTGTTGGCCGGTTGGAAGCAGATACAAGCCCTATCGTCCGTAGGACCGCGTGAAACATTTGCTAGCAAGGAATTCCATCAGCTTCTCAAGGAGGATTTTGACATTGTCATCCTGGGCGTCTTTGCATATCCGTTCTACGTCGTGCCATACTTGTTGAAGACCCCATTCATCATTCTGACCCCAATAGCGTACTTTCCCCTTGTAACTGGCCCGCTGGGTAACCCTACGCTGCCAGCCGTGCACCCCTTTCCAGGCACCTCGAGTGCAGACGAGATGAGCTTTCTGGAACGCCTCCAAAGTGTCATGGGCCATGCATTCATGCACGTGTTAGTAAGAGTCATCTACGCGTCGTATTCTGACAGACTGGTTGCGGAGAAGTTCGGTGCGGGCGTGATTCCTCCAGCGAATGAGATTGAACGCAATGCCAGCCTTGTCCTGCTCAGCAGCAACCCGATGATCGACTACCACAAGCCGTTGCTGCCCAACGTCATCGAGGTGGGAGGACTGCATTGCGAAAAGGCCAAGCCGCTGCCCAAGGAGGTGACCAGCTTCCTCGGCGACTCACAGTACATATTCTTCAGTCTGGGTTCCGTGGCACGTCCTCAGGACATGTCTGAAGACCAACGCTCGGCGGTGCTCAACGCCCTCGGTGCGATGCCTTTCAAGGTCCTGCTCAAGTGGGACACCACAGACCGCACCAACATACCGGCCAACATCCTGCCGTCCAAGTGGCTGCCACAGCAGGACATCCTGGGCGACAGCAAGTGCAGGCTGTTCATCTCACACGGCGGCTTCGCCAGCGTTCTGGAAGCCCTCTGTCACGGCGTTCCCATGGTGACCATCCCGGTCGCTGGGGACCAAGTGTTCAACGCTAAGAACGCCCTTCGCCTGGGCGTGGCCGAGGTCCTGACTTGGGAGAGCCTGACGTCCGAGACGCTGCAGGCGGCCATCCGCTCCGCCATGTCTCCCGGGCACCGGGCGGCGTCCCGCTACCGCCAGCAGCTGCTGGCCTCTCGGCCGGTGCCGCCCCGTGACCTGGCCGTGCACTGGGTGGAGCACGTGATCCGGCACGGCGGCGCGCCGCACCTCAGGTCGGTGGGCGCCGACCTCAACTTCTTCCAGTACTACTCGCTCGACGTGGTCGCCTTCCTGCTGGCGGTGCTGGCGCTGGTGCTGAAGCTGCTAGTGGCTCTGGTCAAGTGTTGCTGCCGCTGCCTTTGCAGACGGAACACAGGTCCGGCCCAGACGAAAGCAAAGCGGTCTAAACGTGATTAGACTCTTCGAAGCTTCATAATTGTTCAGTTTGCTGGAAGCTAGTATGTCGGGTTGTGATTTGTATCTTTAGATTTTTGCCTTTTCTTCGCCAACACGAAGTTAGAGCAGCTAGCCTGCTTAGAAATCCAATGTTACGCCGGAGTTCCACAGATGGGGCAGATCCAGCAGCAGATCTTGGGAGGGTCCAAGAACTTGGTGTTGCATCATGCGATATGTCAGGGAGCGACTCAAGGTCAATAGAATGTTTTGCAATGCCAAGGGTTGAACGGAATGCGTCGGAGGTAAATACAGCACCTGAGCGCATAACCATGCGATACAATACAGTGAAATGTGATATGTGTCTCAGGGCTGTCTCCAATGTTCACGTTATGCCGGACATAGTTACTCGTGCATCTCATCCACGTGCTTCCGTGATAAAAACACTATAATGATTCTGGTGAAAGCACTTGAGTGCTCCGCTGACGCCGAATATTCAAGCAAGATCCCTGTACACTATTCGTTTCTCTCTAACTACGCGGGTAACATATTACGTATCAATTAATTGATGTATCTTTCCAAAACGTTTCTTTCTAGTTGATCCTAGTCCTATCACATGGTGCAAAACTACACAAAAACGCTACGGTGAAAAATACAAACACTGACGAGACAAGCAGAAGAAACTCATGAACGTAAATCCAGTTCATTTGATACTCTTACTCAGCACGTTCGAGCTTGCTGATGCATGCATTCCTTTGTCTAGAGGCAGTGCCGGCCGGCAGCAGTCAGTTCCAGAACATGTCTGCAGAAGTGGGTGTGTGGAATACGCGGCATCGGATCATAATTCTACGGGCTTTGGGCATGCAGAGAAAACACGCGGCGCAACATTACAGGGAATGTTTCACACTGCCCTGATTTCACATTTGAATCCCTTGAAGCAACGATCAGATAAGATGAAATCATTTCACTTATAACTATTACTATGCTTTTTAGAGGAAAATAATGCTTTAGACAACACATTTTCCGTGCTGAGTAAATGTGCACCTTAATGTGGCATTGTTTGATTACGTCATTGAACCTTGTACGCAACATTCATTGAGAGCCAATTGACGGCCATTATATCTGGAAACCGGGCTCGCAAACGCCAAATGTGATCGACTCGCCCATTATACTGTTTTGCTTTGATCGCCTGATGGCTTATGGAATGACAGGATTTGAATGCCGTTGTTATGACGTCATCAATGCCTGCATGATCTTGAAGTACCTTCTCCAAAGAAGTATCCACTTCTTGACGGAAGTATAGCTAAGAAACTAGGGGGGGTTAGGTTTTAGGAGGGGCAGGGTTGTGAACCGCCTCGAATGATCTTCAAAATGGTCATATTAGTTCAAAACCACATGAAAAATGTGGAACACTCCATTTAACAGACGAAAACCTTGCAGCTCCGGCATGCTTGCCATCATCACCCGGGTGGCGCGCTGTGACGCAGTTGCAGGCGTGGCGAACAACGAGCGGAGTGCTCCAGGAGCACGCGGAGCACTCAGCGCCCTGAACACCCCGACGCTGTCAAGTGGGTGACCAGATCACCTACAGCGCGTCAACCCAGCGCCTCGCATCACAAACATGCGCCGAAACAGGCGAGCACAAACACGCGGTGCCGGGACGAACATGGCCCCGAAGCCAGCACGTTCTGCCCCCTGCGCATATGACACGCAGCACCCCGGCCGCAGGCTGGGAGCCAGCAAAGCACGTGTGAAAAGTCGTGGCCTTGGATCAGGAAGATACGGGCTTTGAGCGTGAGGTGGTCTCGACCTTTGAACATATAGAAAAGGGTGGAATTGCACTTTTTGGTCACGCTGGACACGATCCCTGCCCAGGATTGGAAGAGTTCGACCGTCATTTTTAGAGTCTTTGCAGATGGAGATAGCGTTGATATGTGCCCAGATATGTTAAGATGGAAGGATGTGGCATCCTCGAGATTTCTGGCTGTCTTGACGAAAACAAGGGCGTCTAGGATGGTCTTCGTTTGGTACATTTTCAAGTAGTCTCACTGTCGTTTGACAGTGAGAAGGGTCTCCTCCTGCCGCGTTCTTACTCGACGGCCGGTTCATCAGGATGAACCGAGTCTCGCAGTTGGTATCTTCGGCGTAAGGTGCTAGACGTCTGTGCGTTGGGTAAGGAGGCAGATCGTTTGTGCAGATGCCGAAGGACTGAGAACCAAGAACCGGAAACCTTTGGAGGACACCATGTGATTGCGGCAAGTATACGGAATCACCTCTCACTGCCTGCCGCGCCGCCGGTCACCGCGTTGGTCCTCTAAATCGCTCACGTTTAACACGAATTGCGTTCGTAGTTCACTACTTCCGAATCACTCAATTATAGCCTGTTTAATCAGGCTACACCTCACTTTTCCAGCACGCACGCTAGCGTTGCGTGCCTACTTTTACATGTTTAGTGCCCTCGCACTGTCCGGCTGCATCGAGCTACCAAGGCTAGATGAAGGTGGTGACAGATGTCACTTGGTTTTCTTGTGGTACACGTCAGACACACACACACACACACACACACACACACACACACACACACACACACACACACACACACACACACACACACACACACACACACACACACACACACACACACACACACACACACACACACACACACACACACGCACGCACGCACGCACGCACGCACGCACGCACTAACTATATATATATATATATATATATATATATATATATATATATATATATATATATATATATATATATATAGCAGTCGGAGTCACCGTCGGTGAGCATGTGCCACATGATAATGATTTGGTGTTACCAACAGTCCTGTGCAGTATTTGCTTCAGTGTACGGGAGTTACCACGGCGTCCGTCTGCCAATGCTGCACAAACGTCCATTGGTAGAAGCCGCGCCCTGATGTCTTGGATTGCTTATCTGTGAAGGACAGTACGTATCTCGGCACCACTTCACCCTAGCGCCTCCCTCTTGAGCGAGGTGAATGCGCTCGACTGATAGATAACGAGGCAGACGGTGGATGACTACCAAGTGTCTGGTTGGTCAAAAGCGACTTACAATGTACTGCTTTCTTATTGGTAACGACTTGTAACGACTCTAAGCGCCTCCCTGCTGAGCCATGCTGGTGCACATTGTATTAAGTATTGCTCTCCAACTACGTCATTTGCTTGGGTCAGGTGTGAGGTGCATGTATGCAATTACAGACGGTGCTGAAGTAATGGAACACTGTTACCCTCCCCACACCAGGAAAGACAGAAACTTCAAACCAGTGGCTGACTTGAGTGACCGAAATCTTCGGGGCCATGGAATTTGTTGTGAAATACACTTCGAATCCGACCTCGAAATGCTAGCCCATGCATGAGCAAACGGTAACCTCCCATTCGTCCCGAACTCTGCCTGAGGTGCAAGAACAGAGACGAGCATGTTGCTTGACTAAATAGAGCGCTAACGATAATAGGTTTTCAAGGCCGTAAAACATTTCACAAGACTGGTAAGGCTTGAAACTACACTTGAGCTTAACATCCCTCTGTCCACCCCCACCCCTGTTGCGTTTCTGTTACGCTACACCAACCCCTCCCCTCCTCCACGCGTGAAGAAATTGGTCGACGGCCCCCGACCGCTGCTTGGCAGCACCACCGTTCATGTAAAGCGTCTGCAGCAAGTGATGACCTTACACCAGGGAAGAAGTTGAAACTCTAGTACGAAATTTGTACGTTAGATGTCGGTATACCAACGAAAGATGGCACCACGTTCGCAGCGGCCTCCAGCGGGCGGCGGTGCTGCCGCCTCACGTGTTGACCAGCTTCGGTAGCGTCCGCCACGAGGCGCTAGTAGCGAGCATACCTGAGCTAGCCTCTCCCGCACGCTGCTGAGGAATGTAGGCGGAGCATCGCTTACAGGTAAGTCTGAAGATGGCGGGCGGCGCAGCGGGCAGAGGCGGCTGCAGCAACCGTGGCAGAGCAGGCCTGTCCGTGTCGACGGCCTCGCACGCCTGACTCAACCGCCGGTGCCAGCACGGTGGCCGGACACTGCCGCAGTGCCCGCCCAAGTAAGGCCCTGAGCGCGCCCCTGGAGACGGGTTGTCGGGCCGGGCGCTTCCATGAGATAAGAGGTGGCGCGACGCCTCCAGATCGGGCCGGAAATCAAAAGCTAATTAATCCCGGTGTGACGCGGCGCGGTCGGGAAGATCGGCCGCCGTCGGCCGACCGGCGGTGGTGGTGAAAGGCGGCGAGCGAACGGGGGAAGGCGTCTGGCCGGACCGCGTGGCCCGTGCGGCGGTCTCTCCCGGTGCAGACGCCATTGATGTGGTTGCGGCCTTGGCCCATGTGCGGCGCCGCGGCATCCGCGTGCTTCGAGGATTAGTGCCGAGACCGACGATTTGTAAGACGTGCTGTGGATCTCCGCACGATCGCTGCACGGCACGGCAAGCACGGCACGGCACGGCACGGCACGGTATATCACGTCACGGCACGGCACTGCGCTACAGCGAACATCCACGTCAACATAACTGTGAACATCGAGCATTTAGGTTTTTCAAGTACTAATACGGTCTAATGCCGGACACGTTTCCAAGCGTTTAAGTGGCGAAGTTCTGCTGCCGTCTTGGCGCCATGTTTGTGCGGCTCTCACCTAAACACCGCCTCAAACCTCAAACCATACACACGCGCCGGCACATCACCGTCATTACGGGACTTACGCGCGCGGCCTGATTACAGCTTGCGTGCAGCAGACCACACTTCTTCGAATGTCATCCTGGCTTTTTGCAACCGGCATGTTCCCAGCCTGTCGCGTGCGTGACGAAAGCTGCGGTCGTAGACCCAATTCCCGTCCGGATTGGCGCATTCCTGCGGGCCAGCTGCAAACTGGCCGGCGGCGCGGCCGGCCGGCGGAAGCGGAAACGCTCCGGGACGGAACGAGTCACTGACTTCCAGCGCCGAACACAAAGCCGGCGCGCGCGACGGTCAGTCCGGCCGTGCGGTAGGGGCGCCGGGCCGAGACGGGCGCCCCCTCCCCCCTCGCCCGCCCAACATCGGGTCACAGCGCAGCCTGAGCCGGACTGTCGTCTCCGCCGACCGCGCGCGCCCGCCGCGTCCGGCCGGCGTTCGATTTTAAATCGCCGCCGCCGGCGGGGGCCACCGCGCCCGGATTCCGACGGTGACACGCGCGGCATACCGCCGGCCGATCGCAGCCCGCCTCCGGCCGCGCGCCGGCGATCCTGCCACGCCGCTCGGCGCGCCACGCACAGGCCGGCGCCGCGCGCCACGGCCGCTCGGCCGGCCGCGCTGGCCGCTGAATGGCACGCTGCAGGCGTCACGTGGCCGGCCGTACGAGCGG